AAAAAAAAAAAAAAAACCAAACCTGAATCATAATATTATCGAACAAAACAACAACAATGGAGGAAAACGAAAACGAAATTACCAGACTTGAAGTTTTCCTAATCCTTCAATAGCTCTCTCATGGGATCCCCTTCGCATCACATTCAATTCAGGAAAAAAGATAAAAGGAAAACAAAAATAAACACTGCAAATCCATGGCGATGGTGTTGGGATGAAGCCGCTGCTGTCCCTAATCCTCGATCGATTTCGAGCCATGGTGAAGGAAAGAGAGGAAAAACTTAGGGATTTTAATGGTGGGATCGTTTTGCCCTTGAGCACAAGGAAAGAGAGGAAAAACTTAGGGATTTTAATGGTGGGATCGTTTTGCCCTTGAGCACGGATGAAATTGTGCAAATTTGGGAGATTGTTTTGTCTGAGCTCACAGTTAATTCGAAGGCTATCATCACTGGGGGAGGAGAACAACGACGGATCTGTAGAAGAAGAGGAAGATGATGAGAGAGAGAGAGGGAGAGAGAAGAAGTAAAATAGATAGGGAGAGACAGAAAACGTGATAATAATAGATCCCATAAATCCGTTTTTACCATAATTACAAATAATTATCTGTTGATCAATAATCTAGTATGTTTGTAAATAAAAATCATAGTTTTAGTTAATTTACAAATAAATATATATGAGTTGTAAATATATAATAAAAATATTAATGTGTAGTGGATGATGTAATTTCCTCTATGTTAAATGGTCCTTGGCCCGACGGGCCGACCCGTTTAGCCTGGAGAAAAACATGGTTAGGGCCTTTTATTGTCAGCCCGTTTAAATCCGGGCTTTTTAGGCCCAAACCGTTTAGCCCGAAGCTCGTTAGGGCTAGCCCGAAAACTGTTAGGGCTAGCCGGTCTAACTTGGGCTGGGTGGTGTATATGTTTTTAGAAAGGTAAGTACTATGTTTCATCCTTGTATATTACAAGTTTGCTCTTCTACTTCACATGTAATTATGAGTTATAATGTATTATTATTACTATTTTGATAAATAATTATTAACAAATTTTATTATATTTCACAGCAAAATATCTAAGCCAATCAGAACAGCTAATAAGAAAACAAATGAGACAAAAATCTAACACATAGAATATAGTGATAGAATATATATTCACCAATATATTATATTGTGAAAATTCCCGAAGCGTACCAAATAACTAGTCAAATGGTAGTTATAAGAAATAGTTCGAACATTTTTTTTTTCTATTGAGAAACAATATGTTATTTAAGAGTTTGTAATGTGTGTTCATATATGAAGTGTAGTTGTATATATATAGTGGTAAATTGTAAATAACTGTTGAAAAAAACCGTTAACTTGGTGTTGTAATTTATTATTATTATTATTATTATTATTATTATTATTATTATTATTATTATTATTATTGTTATTGTTATTGTTATTGTTATTGTTATTGTTATTGTTATTGTTATTGTTATTGTTATAGCCCGTATAGCCCGAAGCCCGCTAGGTTTAGGGTTAGGTCCTTTTTTTGGTAGTCCGTTTAAATTCGGGCTTTTTAGGCCCAGACCGTTTAGCCCGAAGCCGGCTAGGGTTAGTTCGAAACCGCTAGGGCTAGTCTGTTTAACATCTCTAGTTAGTATAATTTGTACATATGTGAATGAGTCCGGCTCAACTCGTTTAATAAACGAGCCTAATTAATTGTTTGAGTTCGACTTGTTTAAATAAACGAGTTAGCCTAACTGAATCGAGTTGTGTTTGCTAATAATTCGATTCGAACAACAGATCTAGATAAATGTAACTATTACTCAATTCCTTACAACAAAACTAGACTCCTATGCAACCCCTTAGGTTCTTCTTTTATTCAAAACCATTTAAACAATACTGGAGTTAACGACCCCCTATCTCCCAAGCAAGTTGTAACCCATGGTATAAACCCCAAATTTCTGCCCCCACAATTGAACAAGTGCCTAAGAAAATCCTAGTGCACAAAATAATAATTAATTGAAAGGAAACAAAGTACTAGATCATGCTTCCACCTTTCTCATCCCCATTAACACTTGAACATTCTGTGCTATAATAAATTCAGAGAATTAGGCGCGCGTGCACACACAAATACACAACATTCTCTCTACATAATAAAATTGGTCATCTTTAAGTGGGGAACAAGAATGAAGCAAAAATGATGCATTTCACACCTAAAGCAGCCGCAGACAAAAGTGTACAGGAGGAATCCAAAAGGAATGATAACAGTTCTCAAACAAAAAGCTACACTTTGACGACAATTATTATACTAACAAATTGTTATGCCTTTTGTCTGAATATGCTAAACACGAACAACTAGTACAAGGAGAGAAAATGCGCTCCAAGAGGTTCTACCCAGATAAGCAAAGATTGGTCTTGCTATTGAGTAAACAGATTCTTGAAGCAGGATCAGGGCTTGAATGCAGAAAATGCTACGACTGAGTTGTGTCCACCAAACCCAAATGAGTTTGAAATGGCTGCATGTAGCAATGAACACGAATAAATTAGTGTTATATACTAGGATCCCGCAAAATTCATCCTTTGACATTAGGGATAGTTACAAAATCACTCTTCAGATTTAAACTAGATACAAAAGATGCAACAATCATCTAACATTACAAATACCCCCTCAGGGTCTGCGCTTTTTCCACAAATACCTTCCTATTGAATCTGCCATATAGAATCAAACATCATAGGGGTTTTTGTCTTGAAAGAGGGCTGGATTTGTTTTTGGCAATTGGGTGAAAATAAAGAAGGGTTTTGTAATTAACCCTTAATCATGATATCCCAACTGAAATGTAGGAAAGGGCAAACGCAAATTATAAGTTATAAAATATTCTTACCAACATTGACTTCATGCTCCTGCTTTTTGTTTGCAACGGTGTCGAACTCAACAGAAGGCTCTGGGTTCTGCATTTGTAGTTTATGAATTCATAAAAAAGCTGTCAACAGTCCATCACAGCTAGGGACTAGTCATCAAAGTTTATATGAGCAATAGACCCGATGATTCTGAATGTGCTACTTGTTTAAACAAAGCACATAAACATATTACTAGAAGTGTTCACATTTGGCATTGCACATACGAGCCACACACACAAACAAACTATCAATCTGGACTTACAAATTGATTTATTGTGGGATGAAGCCATCCTGTTGTAATGGCTTTCACTGTCGCAATGGCTTCCAAACCACCAGCAGCACCAAGGCAGTGTCCTATCATTGACTGGACAAAACATGAAAATGTGAGAAGTCCATAATAGAACACAATTAACATGTCACATGCTCAATCAAAGAGTATCCATGTGTGTGCACGTGAGTAAGTGAAGTGGATGCTAGCTCACACAAGCAAGACAGCTGTACAAAACTAAAACCTGAAGCAAATCATTTTACAGTGAAATGAAGACACGCTATCAACAAGCTACATGCTAACATGAACCGATGTACACAAAAGGGGAGAACTTCACTTGGGGCCTTACCTTAGTTGCGTTGATTTTTATCTCTGAGGTGTTATTGAATACCTTCTTAATAGCATTTAACTCGGCTAGATCTCCCACTATAGTGGAGGTTGCGTGGGCATTAATGTAGTTAACCTGAAAAAGTATATGGACCAAATTATTAAGATACTTAGTTACGGAATTCAGCCCCTTCTGTGCTCTTAAAGACGACAAAAAATCACCATGCTTTTAAGTGATTCTAGACTAGCAAAAGAATTCAAAGGCTCTTATACAGCAGTACGACCTATATTTCCAAATTTTGGTATCAGCAGAGAATTAGAAAACGAATTCTCATTTAAAATTTTTAAAAATGATAACAAAAAGGCAGGATGCAACATTTAATGTTCTCGAAGCATGCTGTAGACAACATACTGATTATGATAATTGCATCTTGAAATATGTAAAAAACATCCGGTTTCGCTTTCATACTCCTGGCGTGGATCTGACAAATTACATGGCATGCTAATCTAACAAAGGAAACCTATACCTCCTCTGGGGAAACACCAGCATCTTCAAGGGCACTATGGATACAAGAAGAGACACCGAGTCCATCGGCTCTGGGATCCGTCATGTGATAAGCATCACAATTTACTGCACCTCCCAAATACTCTGCGATTATGGGTGCGCCTCTTTTCATTGCATGTTCCAGGCTTTCCATAACCTGTTCCGATAGTTGATGGGAATACAGAAAGCATTTCAAAGCAACTCATTAAAAAAGCACATGTTTCGCATTAAAAAAGCGTTGTATAAAGGAGGAATTACCTATTGATACATATAACCATAGAGAATGATTTTAGATAACTTCACCACTGAGACAAAATATTATTAAACAAATATTATACATGACTGGGCTTGATGGTAGATTGATATACAAATCTTTAGCACTTAAGAAATGATGATGATGCTTTGCACTACTCCTTGCAAATGAAATTGCATAGTCAGATTAAAAGGTTTGTAAGGGACAAATCTTAGTCCTAGAGCATGCCGAAGTATCTTTAAGTTGACATCCTCTGCTTAGGCAACCCTCATGACATCCAATTCTCATACAATTAAACAATTGTTAAGAGGATGCTTGGATACAACACTTATCCAAAAAAATCCAAACATTTTTAACTCAACCATTTTTTTTAACTCAACTTTAACTCAACTCAACTATCATTAATATTATTATAATAATTAAATAATATCAACCAATCATTCTTACACATCACATCAACCTTAATTCACTATTCATCCACTCACATAATTTTAACTAACCATCACTTCAAATCATCTCTCTCATACTTTTACATCAAATCAACTTTAATTATTTTATTTTAAATATTATTTTAATATACCAACTACAATTAACCCTACCACATCTTTCAAAATTAACCAAACCAAATCAAAAAATCCAAACAAATCCAAAATTTTTATATCCTAAAGGTTTTTGTAACTAACGTCTCATTTAAAATGCTACTCAAAGTCACGCTTACTTCCCTTTGCAATTAGTAATTAGCACTTAGAGTTGATAATTTACTCAACCTTTGGTTCATATAATCAAGTTTTTCAAAGCCAGAAAGAAGATAAGAACGACAGTAACTCACCAAGACTCCAGCACCTTCGCCCATAACGAAACCGTCTCGATCTTTGTCCCAGGGTCTAGAAGCAGTTTTGGGGTCATCATTTCTCTGAGACAAAGCTCTGCAAGCAACAAAACCTCCCAATCCTATTGGAATAATGGCGGCTTCAGTTCCGCCAGCAATCATCAAATCAGCTTCACCCCTACGAATGTGGTTTGCAGCTGCGTAGAAGCAGTAATTTGAGGTGGCACAAGCAGTTGAAATCGAATAATTTGGCCCCATCAGCCCAAGATCAATTGCGAGCAAAGCCGATCCCATGTTTGTTATAGCATACGGGATGAAGAATGGAGTTATTTTCCTGTGCCCCTTCTCAATAAGAGCCTGGACACCATCTGAAAATACAGTAAGACCTCCCATTCCTGTCCCAACGAGAACACCAGCTCGAATTTTGTCAATCTGTAGTTACAGACAAAAGAAAACCGAATAATTCACATGGTTATGCCTGCAAATCCAGAGCTACAATAATCAAAGAAATGAAAATTCAGAAGAGCGGGAGCCAACGAGGGAGTGAAGAAAACGGGATGACGAGTCACAATTAACTGAACTAATTGAACCAACAAATGCTATTGCAATTAAATATAAAGTACCAATCTATCTAAACATAATCTAAAGTTCAAGTGTAAGAGGAATATAAATGAGATCATTGGTTAACCCATCAATTCAGAACCACATCCTAGTTCAATTGAAACACGGTCGTTGTCAACGGTTACGACTATCTGGGCAATTCATAAATTTACCCACAACTTTCAAAAAGTTAATGCTAACTAGGATATTCAGATATCACAACTCAGATATTCAGATATCACAACTCAATCCCTTTTTCCAAATCCATTTCTTCCAATAACCAATAACAAATCCACATACAGAACTAATAAGAAAGTTAATTCGGGACTTCTAGCAAAAATCAGCTAAAACTATAAAAGAACGCCATAGCAGCACCAATCTTCAAAATTCTGAATCGACTAAACTGAGCTTAAGAATTTCATTAATACCTCAAATCTGAATCAACTGAATTGAGCTTACGAATTTCATTAATACCTTGTTGAGCTTATCGCCCCCCAGATCAGCACCCTCGAGCGCCTTCTTCCCGGCAACAATGCAGTACCTTAAACAATCGTCCAATCTCCGGTCGTTCTTACCGTCGATGTAACCCTCGGACTCGAACCCCCTGATCTGGCCGCCGAACCGCGTGGGGAATTTGGAGGCGTCGAACCGGTCGATCGGGGTGATGCCGCTCTCGCCGGCGAGTAGCTTCTCGTAGTACGCGTCCACGTCGTTCCCGAACACCGAAACGAGGCCCATCCCCGTGACCACCACGCGCTTCTTGGGGTCCGTCTCGCGCTTGGGGGCTGAGACGGCGGGGGCGGACGCGGAGACTTTGAAGGGGAACCTCCTGGTCGGCGTCCTGGCACTGCCGCTTGGGATAGCGGACGAATAACGCCGTGTGCGGAGGGGGTCGAGGGGGGAGGGGCGTAGGGCGGCGGGCTGGAGAGCTTGCATGGTGGCGGAGGGCGGGACGGAGTTTTCGATGTGGCGATTGGTGATGTGTGTGGAGAAAAGTGTTGGGAGAGTAGTGTGAGCTTGACTGGTTTGGCCTTTATACTCGCTACTTTGAGCCTTGAGGGGAATTATAGCAAAATTTATTTTGCATTTATTCATATTTTAATGTTAATTCATAAAATTATATCTAAAAAGTTTAGATTAAAAATCTATATATATAAAGATTTGATTATTTCTTAAATAGTAATTATTTTCCTCCAAAAGAAATTTATTTACTATTTTAGAAAATTAATTTCACGTATATTTCAAATAATCACTTCTGAAAATTGCGGCTTATTATTTAAGGAAATAATTAAGCCATATAAATATTTATATTTAATATATCTTAATTACTCAAATTAATTTGACAATTTATGGTATATTTCAAATAATGACAATTTTTATTTATATATTATTTAATAAATATTATTCATTTTATGTGTATTTAATTGCTCAAATCGTAGATAATTAAAGAAATAATTAGACAATAAAAATTTACATTTTTAAGATACCCTAATTACGTAGATCATGTAAGTTCGGTTAATTTATTCAATTATAATTTCTTATAAAATTATTCTAAAATAATTATGTTAATGACAGTTTCTATTTAATTATTTTCTAATAACTATTTTTGGGTCTTTTTTTATTTTTATCTATAATAAACGTGAGTCTTGATTTTGTTTTGTACGCTGAGCAATTAATTTCGTGGTTAAACTGAATATCATTTTTTGTATTATATCGATAATGTATGAAATCGAATTATTTGGTATACTATATATTGATCCAATATACCCGCTTATGGTAATAAATGGTATCTCAATTTTTATTTTTATTTTTTTGTCATATTGCTAAGCATTTTACTCGATATTCATGAAAGAAAAATCTGGATAATGCTATGGTCGATTTTTCTTTGTAAATGTGCATGGAACATATCAAATTATTTGGTATGTGTGTGTGTGTGTATGTATATATATGAAGGTTTGTTTTTACTTAAATCACATTGTAGTCAAATCAAATTTCTGAATAAAAATTTAAAAATGACATCTATTTTTGAAATGAATATAATGTAACTTATTATCAGTTACTTACACCGTACGGGTCGTGTACTAATTTTAAATAGACATGTTTATGTATTTTTGCACAATTTAAATTTTATAACATTTTCAACAAATTAATATAGGTAAATTGTATTACATATTGATTTCATATTTCTATTCTATAAATATTATTTAATGAGCATTTGTAATTTATAAATATTAATGAATATTTCTTACCCGTGCATCGCACGGGATTCGTACTAGTTAGTTGATAAAATGTTCGACAAAATTAACCGATCTTATTTATAAGCTAGCATTTTGAAAGGGTAATCCTACTAAAGCAAACTTGTTTATTTGAATACAAGGACTTTATAAACTAATTAAATAAATTATAGGGTAGTTTATGATAAGAAACAAATGAAGTAGAATCAAATGAGAATTGGAAATAGTGAAATAAACAAGAATAGATCGTAGCATCGGATGTGATATATCAACGTTCCAGGCACGGTCAAATGCTCCAACTTTAGTCAAATGAGTGGTGACATTGTTGTAATTATCTGTACTTTGATTTTTCACGCAAGGAGGCACACAATACATTATTCCCGCAGACATTAATGTGTATTTAGTCTAACACTATTGTGCATTCTGCAATACCTGAATTTTTAATATGCATATCCACACACAATATTGTGCACTTTACTTATCAATATTGTGCATTTATTAATTTTATGAAAATTATATGTTGACGGAAGATCGCCAATGGTTATGATAAATGTGTTTAGGACGGTTTAATTGAGGTTACAGTACATGTATAATTATGGCGTGTTCTAGAGATACATGATATGAAAAGATTGCAATAAAGTAAATATGCATGAAAAAGAGCAAACATCGATGTTGACGATCAGTTGTGGCGATCGACAAGGAGATTGTTCTCTAAGAATTTTATAATGATTGTATGAGTACAGCCGAATGTTTTGAAGTATATGTTGGAAGATCAGTTTGAAGATAGTGCATATGTGTATATGGTGTTTTTCGACTGCCCTTCCTCTCGGACTCGAGGGTCGGTATTTATACAATAAGAGAAAAGTGATAACGTATTAAATGGAGAGTGTCAGCTAGGGGCGTAGAGTGACGCTGCATGTTTTCATGCAAAAGTGGATGGGACATCTTGGGCAGTGCTATCAGCTTTGTCAGTTTTGATTTAGACGATAAAAGTGATCGCCAATCTTCCTTGGAAAGCTTTTATGGGTGATCGGTAGTCCGATCGGGTGATTGGCAACCCTAGTCTTATACCTCCAGGTCTGTGGAGCAAGTGTTGCGTCTTGGGCCTAATTCCTTATTTTTATAACACTACATAAAATGACCAACACACAACCAAACAAGCTACAAGCAAACACCTAAGACTAGACTAAACTAAAGTCCTCCCCTTCGGCTGAAAAACAACACCACACCGTCACCACTCGAACCAAACACCTTGGAGCAACCACCCAAGGAAATATGATACAGTTCGTGGCCTAACATACGGATCTAGAAACTCCCAACACTGGCTAACTAGATTTCGCGAGTGCGGCTAGAAACAATCTGAGCCGAAATCACCCCCAAAGAACCCACGATCCTCACACCATGGAGAAGTACAAAAATAGGTACATAGACCACCATCGACCTCAGACCCTTCAGTGGAACACAACAGATCTGTCACCGCTTCACAGTCCTAACGCACCGCTGATGCACCTCCAAATAAACCGCCATGGTCACCCATTTACAGTGGAGAAAACGTCAGGCTAGTTGAGGACGCGATGGATCACCGTGAAGATGCTGCGACCATGGTGCCGGTCTTTATCGCGAAGGTGCGGCGCCCCCGTCGAGAAGAGGCGTCGTTGGAAGAAGGCCAGGTCTTCTGTGTCTAGTTTGGAGATTTTTTGCTGGAGAGAATGCCCAAGAAAAAAAAAATCTATGTCTGTATTTGTGGAAGTATAATTTCGTTTATTTTGAAAGTATTAAATATTGTATTAAAAACATGCATATTTATAGGGGTTTTTCGGGAAAATTTTATTGTAAGGCTTGACTTTTTATTATTGTGACTCACAATAAAGCTTGAATTTATAACTTTTTCATTTTAATGTTTCAATTTTAAGTTATTCTCAATATAAAACCTACTTTTACATTCTACTTTTCAATTTAAGACTCCAAATCACTTTATATAATGATATAATTATATAACAACAATACTTTTTTAAAAATTTATTTTTAAGTACTTATAATGAAAAATATTAAATATCTTTAATAAAATTATCGAATAAGATAAATATTTCATAATTTAATTTATGCAAAAGATTAATGAAATTTATTTTAAAAGTTAAAAACAAAATTAACTTAATTTTAACCTAAATATGTGATAACATTAAAATATAAACTATTTAGAAAAATAATTTTTTTTTTCAATAAACTTATAGAAAATATTATTTGTGATAAAATTTATATTTTTGGAAAAGTTAAGAATATATAAAATTAATACCCGAAAAAATTCTATTGTAGGTAGTTTTATTCACAAATAATATTTTCTATAAGTTTATTTAAAAAAATAAAACTATTTTTCTAAATAGTTTATATGTTAATGTTATCACATATTTAGATTAAAATTTAGTTATATTTTATTTTTCAACTTTTAAAATAAATTTTATTAAGTTTTTGCATAAATTTAAATTATGAAATAATTATCTTATATTAGATAATTTTACTAAAGATATTTAATATTTTTCATTATAAATACTTAATAAATAAATTTAAAACAAAAAAGTATTGTTGTTAACATAACTATATCAAAATACAAAATGATTTAGAGTTTTAAATCGAAAAGTAGAATGTAAAAGTAGGTCTTACATTGAGAATAAATTAAAATTGAAATCTTCAAATGAAATGTTAAAAATTCAGACTTTATTGTGACACAATGACAAAAAGTCTGAGTCTAAAATGAAATTTTCCCATTTTTGGGCGGAAGGGTTATTAATTATTATGTAGTAACCTAACAAAAGATGACACAATTTACCTTTCACATCACGTAAAAATCAATATTCAATATACATTTGCATTATAAGAATTTACGTGACTTTTGTTCCAAATAAGCTTTGTCCATCACTCAAATACAACATTTTATCTAAAATTAGCGTACACTAATGTAGATAGCAAAATACGAAAAACAATGTTAAATTAAACAAAAGAAACGTAGAGTCGCACTTATATCTAGTTCGCAAAGTTAGGTAGTAATTAAGATGGATTAAGGATAACCAACTTTGGGGGCAAACAATTAAGTGGCTTTAATGAGAGACAAGTTGCTTCAAGTACAAATGTGATAAAAAAATAATAAGAATTAACATGTTTAAATGCAAATGTGATATAATATTCATGAAATTAGTCCCGTTCGATATAATTTGACCCGAATTAAATTATTATTATTATTTTTAAAACGATAGACTTTGTTAATAAAAACACATAATTACAAACCGCGGTCAATGAGCCAAATGTACAAAGTTGAATCTATATATATACAATTGCTGTCAAAGTAATAAATAAAATATAATTAATAAAACTTTCATAAGTTTCTATTTCTTGAATAGTCCGTACGTATATAAATGCAGATTTTTTGGACGTATGTTTCTGTTTCTTGATTAGTCCGTACGTTTTTTGACTTATTTTTATATTTTTAAAATTATAACATACTTACTATCTTAAATTATAAATATGTTTTAAAAGTTGAATTTCGTATGTTTATCAAATTTGAAATTTTCATATCTTATAAATTTGTTTTTGGAGTATTTTTGTGGCGGGCATAATTTACAGCAACAAAACTTAATATTATTTAGAAATTATAAACAAAGAAACAAAAAATAAGGCCAATGGCGACGTCTCTAGTATCCTCTTCAGCTAGTTTTTTCAGGAATTCTCCCTTCCCCACTTTTTCTTTCACCACCAAATCCAAGTCCTTCTACTTGAAAGCGGCTGCGGTAATTAAGTTCATTTAAATCTCTCGAAATCTGTTTTATCAGCAGATTTTTTCTCAATTTTTCTTATGGATTTTCTCCATTTCTTTTTTTCTTTATCATTTTCTATAATAATTTGGCGAGATGCAGATGGGGGATAGCGAAATTAAGGAGGAAATTAGCGAGGATTTAAGCGATAAGAAGAGAATCTTCGTCGCCGGCGCCACTGGCAGCACCGGCAAAAGGATCGTGGAGCAGCTTTTGGCCAAGGGATTTGCGGTTAAGGCCGGCGTTAGGGACGTAGACAAGGCGAAGTCAACATTCCCTGGGAACAATCCTCATCTTCAGATTGTGAGTGTTTTTGAGTTAAATTTCAGCATGATTAATTGGCTTAAAAGTTGTTAATCAGTTCTGATTGGAAAATATTAATTTGTGTGTGTGGTGATGTGGTGTTACTGTGAGTCCGGTGAATTATCTGTTTGAATTCTGAACTATCCCAAGTGCTCGGCACTTTGCGGGTGACGGGTTTTAGGTAGAGCTGTCATTTGAACCAATTGGTTGTGAACGCAACATGGTTCAGCTCATGAAATATTACTTGAACGAGCCGACTTTGAATAAATAATCGAACTCGTTTTATTATAGTGCTGTAATCGAACCGAACTAGCTGAGCTTGGGCGTTTCGAGCTCGTATTGTTTACGTTTGAACACTGTTCGTGCTGTTCGTTGATTTTTCGAGCAAAAAATGGTGTTCGAACTCGTTCGTTTAATTGTTCATCATTGTTCGTGTTCGAATAATTTAGGACATAAATTTTTTAAATATGTTCCTTCGAACTAAAAATAAAATAAAATAAATATTTTTATGTCTTAGATTTTTTTGTTAAAATAATCATGTAAATAAAAAAAAATAAGATAAATTTAAACGTTTGCGAGTGAGCTCGTGTTCGTTCGATTATTAAATGAACCTAATTTTTGTTCGAACTCGGCTCGTTTAACAAACGAACGAGCTCTTGTCGAGAACACGAACGATCTTGAACGAGCTTTTGTTTGTCCGTGAACGTTCGGTTCATTATCGTTAAATAAACAAGCCGAGTTGAGCACGTTTGCGAACATGTTGTTTATAGTTTTTGTATTTTGTTAGATTTCGAACGAACAGCTGACTCGAACATGTTTGTTAACGCACAAATGCTTGCGGACGACTAGTTTACAATTTTTGGTTTGTTAAACAAGCCGAGATTGAGACAAACCTTTGGTTCATTTATTAAAAGAGATTATGCTGGGAATAACACCCTTAGTGATAGGGATTACGCTGGTAGAAGACTGAGATAATAACTGGGAATTTGTCTTTATTTCATAGGCTTTTGTGAAAAATCTGGATTTGAGAGCTTGCAGGGATTGTGGACTTGATTAGTTCATGCAACATATTGAATTATTTGAATTTCGAAACTCGTAAAATTCAGAATTGGGTCGAATAGGTTTGTTCTCCCAACGACGTGTTGGAAATAGCCGTTTTTCTGTCTCTTCTTATGATTCAGTTTTGAGTTACATTTGTTAAAAACATGTACAAAGCTTCTTGTGGGAGAATATATATGTTTACCGTTCTGTTTTGTTTTGTTCCTGTATTTGAGAAACTACTTAGAGGCATACAGTTCTCCTGTATGGGAGAATATATATATTTACAGTTCTGTTTTATTTTGTTCCTGTATTCTTGAAACTATTTAGAGGCGAACAATTTTTCTTATCAACTTCTACCTTAACCCCTAACTTCTAATTCGTTAAACTTGTGTGAATTGCTTGTTTGAATTTCAAAAAAACCCAAGTGCTCAACACTTCGAGTATGAGGAGACTAAGATAGTAGCTGGGATTCATGTCTTCATTACATAGGCACTTGCGAAAATTCCATTTATGAGAGCTTGTAGACATCATTCATGCAACATATTGAATTATTTGAATTCGAAACTCATAAATTAGGAATTTGGCAAAATAGGTTTGTTCTCCATCTAGCTTCCTCCCAACAATGGTAGATTCGATTCAGATCACTCACTCACCCCCAACAATGTGTTGGAAATAGCTGTTTTTCTGTCCACCCTTTACATGTTTTAGTTTTGAGTTACATTACATTTCCTGAAAACATGAACGAAGCTTCTTGTGGGAGAATATATTTATTTTACATGTTTATTTTATTCTATTCCCATATTCAAGAAACTTCATTTCTGTTTCGTTAAACTTGTTTTGCTCAGAGAATTACCAAGCATTAAAAGCCTTTGTAATATATAGCTTTTATTTGTAGCGATAAATTCCAACCTCAGGCCCATGTTTGAATTGTGCCTTCTCATCTACTTTACATTTCAAATCATACATAGTTCTCTCTTTTTTTTTTTTTTAAAGGTAAAAGCTGATGTGACTGAGGGCCCGAACAAATTAGCTGATGCTATTAGTGATGACTCGGATGCAGTAATATGTGCTACCGGTTTTAGACCCTCGTGGGATCTATTGGCTCCATGGAAGGTTTGTCTACTGTCCAATACACTCTAATACACTCTGCTTTTCAATGATTGCATTTTTAATTTGTTCTTAATTTCATTTCTTATACAGGTCGATAACTTTGGCACTGTGAACTTGGTTGAAGCCTGTCGGAAACAAAACGTTAAGAGATTTATTCTCATAAGTTCTATTTTAGTAAATGGGGCAGCAATGGGACAATTATTTAATCCGGCTTACATTTTTCTCAACGTGTTTGGGCTAACTTTGGTCGCGAAGCTTCAGGCAGAACAATACATACGAAAATCTGGTATCAACTACACGATTATAAGGCCTGGGGGTTTGAAAAACGACCCCCCTAAGGGTAATATAGTCATGGAGCCAGAGGTAATGATGTTGAGAATATTATTCAGTTCAAGTTAGTTTAATTACAAAATTAGAAGTAAGTTATTAATATTCCCCCTTAATCTTGTTTTATTTTGCAAATTACATCCTCAAGAAGGAATTTTGTTTGTCAAATGACAACAACTTTGGCTAAATTGCATTTTTAGTCTTGCTGGTTTAACGTCATAGCAACTTTAGTCCCAGCAATTTTTAGTCCTTTGAAGACTTAATTTTGCAACAAATTTCCAAATTTAATGATTTCTTATTAGCAATTTCAGCCTTGTAATTTAAAGTTTTATTGCAATTTCAGTCCTGTAATTAAAAGCAAAAAGTTGGAACCTTGGAACTAAAATTACTACGGCGTTAAATGAACAAGACTAAAAATGCATTTTTGCCCAACAACTTTCAAGGGGTTTATCTACAATCTAGTTTCGAAAGTAGCTATATAAATTTGTAATTGTGTACAACTTTTTTAGGGCCTTTTTGTAATTTAGCCAAGTAAATTTCTTGTTGTCTTAACCGACCAACACTAGCTCAAAGAAGCCTCGTATTATTACAGGATACGCTTTACGAAGGCTCAATATCAAGGGATCAAGTTGCTGAGGTTGCGGTTGAGGCATTGATTTGTCCGGAATCCCATTACAAAGTCGTGGAGATTGTTGCGCGAGCTGAAGCTCCTAAACGTTCGTTTGTGGAGATGTTTGGTTCTATCAAACAGCGGTGATATGATGGGTCGTTATTATAGTGAAATAGAATCTACGCATATTGAGTCTCGTGCTCCTTCAGTGTCCTGTAAATTATACCATTATGCATTAGCCAATTATTCCGTATTTATTTAATTTTTTTCTGGTTGATGTTTTAAATAAAAAAGGTTGATCAAATTAAAAAGAAAAAAAAAATTGGGTTAGAGATCCACCGAGGTGGGTAGCCTTAACCGGATGTGCGTTAACAGGTAAAGCCCGAAGGCTGTTCCCGTCCCTGTCAGGGGAGATGCCAACCATCTCTCCTTTTTCTGAACACAATTGGGGATAGCTTTTTGTGTCATACAAATATAAGATAAATTTTATGTTAGGTTCCAATGTGGGATGGGATAATAATAATAGAGAACCTTTAATGATGTGGGACTCTTGGCAAATTATATGGTGTAACAGAAGTTTAACGATGTGGGACTATATTGGCATATTCGATAAAATAAAAGAGGAAATTTTATTTTTGCATATTCAGTTATTCACAGATCAATTTTTTCCCGAGAATTTGTGCGAGAAATTGGAACTCTTCTAACATCAAATAAATTTTAGATTCTGCAGATAAGAAGACAGTATGAGTGCGGAAAATTGGATCTCTTCTAAAATCAAATAAACCAACATAGTTAGTCTTGTGACACATTATTTTTTTTTTTTTTTTTGTTAAAATTAAAATTCATGTTGGAACAGAAAAACACAATAATAAAGAAAGATTTCGAAATTTTGAACTAAAATTGTAGGGCTTTACCCTAGTTAAAGGGAGCCCTTCCAGAAATTCTCGAGGGCCAAGGTCAAGCCCAGGCCCAAGAGGGGGTTTGGAAATAGTTTTCAACCAGCAATTGACGCGCCTCGGTTAGAACCTCACTGGCTGCGTCATTGCCCCAAGCGCAAAGATAAATTTATTGTTAGGCGTCCAATCTCAATTTATAACCCCAATCATTGACTTGCTTATGCATGCTTTCGATGTGGGACTCTCTGAAATTCGCAATATCGCAGTCAATTTCCTTCTGTCCACACACTGCAGTATAGCTCTTAAAAAATAATGAATTTACATAATTTTATAAAAATCGTACTTTTCATCTCTTTGTTTGCTTTCTATAAAATTTTTATTTAAGCTGGAAAAATTATTTATCATTCAATTATAGTTTATAATATAATCGGCATTTAGCTTGCTCTCGTTCTTCATTTGTTTTTTTTTCTTGGATTTCATAGTCCGTGTTTTACTCTTTCAGCACGTCAAATCATTATAGGATGAAAAATAAATTGCTTCCAATATATAACTACAGAATTTTTCAAGCCTTGTGTACATTTACGGTGATTTGTAATCATGTTGTTTTCTACCTCATTATATATAAATATGCAGAGTTTCCAATATGTGAGTTAAAAAGTTCAGAAAGGGGGGTCGAGTTTTTGCTCTCTTGAGCTTATTCTTCAATAAGTCTTTTGGTTTGTGTGATGTATTTGTGTACTCGAAATTAATAGAAGTTACATAGTGGGATTTAAAGGCAGTGAGCATTGAAAATCCTGCCAGTTTATTTACAGTTGACAGTAGAATTATACAATTTAGATACAATATACAGCTTTAGCCGGTTGTAGTAAGGCAACCTTCTTGTACATGTTGATACCATTAATTTTGTCTTTATACTTACAAATTAAACACATATGGTTGATGATTTGACTGTTGGAACTTGAGTGCCGGGCGCTTTTAATTTTCATGGCCTTATTTTCTTTCGATATTTGTTATTAGCATAAGAAACAAATGATTCCAGACATCTATTGGAAGAGTTCATCTTGTAGTTGTGATGGAATCTCTGTATAGAGCCAAACCAAGAGAATGCCAATTTCATCTATCATAGAGTTGGAAGATTGGTAACTAGAAATTTAATGCCAATTTCATCTATCATAGAGTTGGAAGATTGATAACTAGAAATTTAAGGTTTGTGTTGATTTGTTTACAAAAACTAACTGAGATAATGACAGTTCACATTTCTCATTTTGGCATACAAATAAAGAGGCAATATTTAGTTTACATCATAAAAATCTAAAAAATATTTCATGTTTCTACTATCAATAGTGTCACAATGTTTTTGGACTTCTACAAAGGTTTCATAATTGCCATTGCGCTGCAGTTTACCAGAGTATCCTTTTTCTTACTAGAGCTTATTAAAAGTACTAGAGCTTGCATCTTTTTTCTTACTAAATACAACAAACAAAATTTAAAAGGAACTTTAGTTAATTTCGAGGGACTTGTATATTGAAGTATTCTTATATCAAATGTCTCAAATCCAGCTCCATTATCATAAGCTAAAATCCGGAAAGCCAGATAATGCGCGAGGCAAATCACTGATTCATGGGGGATTCAGAGGGGCAATAATAATATTCCTTCTTTGACACAAATTTTTCCAATAAGATGTAAAGTAAGCACCACACAGAAAATCCACAGGGATAATAGTACAATCGATTAAAAGGACAAATAATAATTCTCACACATTACATGGATAGAAGTTGTATCATTAGTTACCTACAAAAAGATAAATTTATGAATCGGGAAATCTGTACTCCAATCTAGTGAACGATTATGCTCGTTTGCCGATTATGCCTTGCCTTTTCCAGCCTGAAGTGACTGAATTCTCTGTTGTAGCTTGAAAATCTGATGGAGGAGAAAAATTGGAGATATTTAAGGCACTCAGCAATTATGCGTTTATGTTTTACAAAAAAATAAAATGAAATGAAGTAAAAAAAAAATGATTTGCTAAAATCATTTTAAAGAAAACAAAACTACATACAAAATATATCCCTGAATCTATTATAAAACGAGACTATGGTGCATGTACCAACCGCTTCTTTTTTGCTGTTCTGCTTTTCTTCTAAATCTTGAAGAGTACCATCTAAGCGCTTCCTGGTGGAAGAAGAAAGCATCAGATCCCAAGACTAAAAACAAGAACAAAACGAACAACCAAAAAGATAACATATATGGCATTTAGCAGCACATGATACTCTGCACCTAATCATCCTCCTTAGGCTATGTTTGGTAACCAATTAAGCTAGATATAGCTTATTTGGATAGCTTATAATCTTCTTGTATTCAAATAAGTTTCGTTTGGTAGGACGAGCATTTTTAAAAAGCTCGAGCTTATCTTATAAACTTCTTTAGGTAGCTTTTCACTTTTAAATAAGCTCGTTGAAATTTTTATTTCAGCTAACTATCTTAGCTTAAATCTTACATAATACTTTTATCATATAAGTTAGCTTTTCAGCTACAAGTCATAAGCTATATAAGCTGTAAGTTGGAAAATCACTTATAAGCTATAAGCTAAACAACTATCAGCTGAAATGGAATATTACTACCGAAATTGCATTGTACAGGGAGGGTTACATGAAGCAGTAATAAACGTCATATATCACGCATAAACGAGCATACAAACATCATTCCCGTATAGTAATCACACAAACAAAGAAAATTTAGAAACTGAAACGAATATACAATCCAGCTGCAAAATAACAATTAACAAAATAGAAAACGGAGTTACCATAAATCATTTAGCAGCACATTATACACTAGCGCCTAATCATCCTCCTTAAACCAATCCTAGGGCTAACAGGAAGCAGTAATCAAGAACATATATTACGCACAAACGAGCATACACACAGCACTTCTTTCAAACCATCACAAAGAAATACCATTAACTGAAAAAGAACATACAATTCAGCTGAAATGTACTCAATCCGCTTCCGAACATTGGCATTTGCCTCTGCAAGGTCCTGCTTCACAAGCACCGGACCAATTAATTTGTACACATTAGCATCCTCATTCAACAAATCCAGTTCCTACACGGAAAAACATAAGAAATCGCTAACTTAATCAGAAAACGCCATAAAAACATACACAAACTCAAATGAGTGAAAAAAATTAACGGTGAATTAGGAAGCAACCTTGAGGACAAGCTCATTCTCCCCGAGCTGAATAGTGTATTTTTTTCTGACCTGGTGATTCTTCGATATATCTGGACATATGAGTACAATTATCAAATTCAAATAAGCATTATTACGAACAGCATAAGCGTGTCTATGTGCTAGAGTTTAAGAGTGAAGAGCGATAAAAATTAAAGCATGAGAAATTGGAGAGGGTTTATCATCACCTTTCTGAAGCTTATTGAGATCGTTGGCTTTGTTTTCTAGGTCGCGCTGTAGCTCTTTGAGAGCTGCCATGGATCCGCGGTCTACAGGCTCCGGCTATGGAAGTTTGGCTTAATACTTTCCGGAGGTGCAAAAATCGATTTTCCGATCAATCTCAGGGCTCTGTGAACAATCGCCTTTTCTAGTCAAGCCGACTCTTTAGCCAGAAAATTGTTGAGAAAGTACACATGAAATTTTTTTATAAGAAAAAATAGAATCCCTAGAAAATATTACTTTAAACTTTATTGTCAAAGAACAAAAGATAAAAATGAAATAATTAAAATTAATATAATATAAAAATAATAAAGCATTAATTAATAGTAATTGATGGTTAGAAATAAGTTAATAGTCTTTTAAAATATATAACCGTATATTTTTTATTTTTTGAGTTAGCAAAAATTAAAATTCAAAAAAATATTTAATTCATGTGGATAAATGGTAGATGAAAATAAATTAAATAATTAACTAATAAAAAAAAACGAACAATTTTATATTATTAACTTTTTCGAAATGATAATTATATTAAAACTAAAAAACTCATAAAGAGTACACCAATGAGCGAACAGACACTACTAGAACTAATACAAAAATTGGATCCACCTCGTTGGAATTACATAAACGATCAAGGGGTATGGCCGAACTCCAAAAAGAAAACTAAACAACTCCAAAAAGAAGATTACACAACTCCATAAAAGAAAACTAGAACTAGACGCAACTGGACTAGAACTAAAATCTAAAAAAAGAAAAAAACAATTATCACACACGCCTAAATAATACAATAAAATCCTCCCTGTCAACCGCCTAACAACACATAACACTATAACCATGTTGCTGTCTTGAATTAACAACTTCAAATTAAGTACAGTTGATGTCAAGAAAATGAGGATAAATTTTTATTTAAGTTTTTATTGATTTTGTTCACAAGAGTACAGAAGTCGGTTTTAAACTGAAAACCGAGTTTCGTCTTTAGTTCGTGTACAATGTGATCGAAAAAGAAAAGATCCTCGTACTATCATAAATTCTGCTATTTATAGTACGGTGGCTTTTGTCTTCTTCCTCGAAATGGATAGAGATGCATTTAATATTGAGCTGCTTTGTTTGAGGCGGCGGGAAACATCAATGATTGCCTTTTTGTTTCGTTGGTCCAATCAGATGCTTCTAATGATTACTTTCTGTTTGGAATGCTCAAACTTTACGGTAGTCGGTTGACTTGATGTCGGTTTGTTTACATTGGTTTCAGATGTCTGTTTTGATCCTTTTGAAGGTCTGTCGGAAGTTGGATCTTTCGGAAATCGGCAATCCTTAAGAGGTCGGTAATTTGCTCTAATATATTCCGACTTTGTAGTACTTTAATTCTGATTACTGGATTTGATATCAACAGTGAGGCCCCCGACATCAGTAAGTATTTAAAGCTTTTTAAATGATTGCTGATGTCGTTTGTTGTTTCACCTTATTCCGATTTGCTTTGCGTTGTTTACCGACATGAGAACACTTTGCTTCATTCGACACTTTACGGTATTTGATCTGACATGGCGGCTCTTAAAAGACGTGTCCGCATTAAATGGGTCCAACGGATACAATTTTATAACGACATGGCGTTTCAGGATATGGCCACGTAAGGTAATAATTACTGTAACGTTATGTCTTTTGAAGACACGTCCGTTACACGCGCCGGTTCCGGATATTTCTAACGGTCATAAATCAAAACCTATAAATTAAAGTCGGTTTTGAGCCGCAAAAAATTTCTGTACCTTTTTCTTCGATTTCTCTTGCGTTTTTTCAGCAATCTTCTCTTTACGTATTTTCTTTGCGCATTCGCTTTTTCCTGTGACCTTCTCATCAATCCAAAGTTCTTCGAAAGTTTTGGTAAGAGTTTGCCCTAATCTTTCTCGTTTTCTTATTCTGTTTCGAATTTTTCTGTATTTTGTATCGATTTCAAAGAGAAAGATGTCTGCGCAATCTGAGAATAGCAGTAGCCGAACAATTTCGGATATTCCGATCCTTACCGATGAGGATTTGGAATTGCCCTTGGAGTATTATCGGTGGGATCCTCTTTTGGTAAAGAGTCTTAATCTCAATAGGGATATCATCGATGAGGACAAGCGAGTCGAAGAGGACGCTATGTCGCTTCCGGATTACTGGAGACGTCCTGCTCGTCGGTGGCCAGAGCCGATTGACGAGTATAGGGGCGAACCGAGTATTCTTACCGATGCCGATATCGTTATGCTTCGAGGAGAAGTGTATATCCCTTCATCGGTAAAGCTGTTCGCTCCATATCCGGGTGAAAGAATTACGTGCCCTCCACCAGGTTGTGTTGGTGTTTTTGCCGACTCACTGAGGTCTGGTTTGAGATTTCCGCTTCCTGCTCTAATCACGGATTATCTAAGGAATTGGGGGATTAGTTTGTGTCAAGTAGCGCCCAATTCATGGAAGAGAATCATTGGTCTTCTGGTATTGCTGAAGGAAAAGGGTTGGGATATGCCAACTGTTGAGGAATTAAGGAGCCTTTTCTCGTTCCGGAGATGTACTGATAAGCAAGTAGCAGATCCTCTGATTTGCTATGCTTGCGCAGGAAGGCCCCAAAGTGGTTTTAAGATTGGTGATTTGATCATAGAAATCCCGGATTCGCTGCACGGGTTCCAAGAGGAATGGCTGTGGGTCGGCGGGGATTGGCAGACTCCGAATTTCAATAAACCCTTGATTGACGAAATGTCAATTCCAATTAATATTAATTCTGCAGTTTGTAAGTGTTGTCCTTCCTTCCAACAAATCGAGTTTGTTCTGACTTGTTTTTTATTTGTGTACTAACAGGTCAACAACTTTACTGTTTGCAGCCAAAAGCAAAGGAGTTGAACTCAGCGCGACTTTAAAAGAAAGGATTTCCGAACTGTTCAAGCTCAAGAAGACACAACGGGGCTTCAAGTTGATTCTAAAGGATTCAAGGCTGAAAGCTGCTGGGTTGTGTCCAGAAATCTTAGACAGTTCTTTTCAACCAGGTAAATTCAAACCGAATTTTTCAATCTTAGTCGACGTCGGTAGCTTTTGGATTTCATAACTCGGTGTCATAATTGCAGTGTATTATCCACTTCTCGGAGTGCTCGGTTTTAAGACTGTTCGTGACGCTAGAGCCTTCCGACAAAGGAGTCCGAATTTGGAACTGCGAACTAAAGTCGGGAAGAGCAAAGAGTTGCGTCTGACAGGAATGGGTCGTAAGAAGTTAGTGAAGGCTTACTTGGAAAACCCCATCATGAATCCACCGAAAACCGACGTTGGTGATGGTGCAACGTCGGCGGCGGCCGTCGTGGTGCCCCAACCGAATCCTCTGGCCATTGCAGCTGAAGGTCCGATGGCTGCTATTGCTGCTGCCACTGCTACTGCGCCTGAAGTTGGGCCGGTGATTGAGGCTGCTCCAGTAGAAAACCCACCTTTCATCGATTTAGCCTCAGATGAGGTTGATGGTGGCCAAGAAACTATTGTTGAGCACGAAGTGCCAGTTACTCGGGCGAGGAAGAGGCAAGCAGAAAGTGTTCCAGTAGCCGAGGAGCGGATGAAGAAGAGGCACGATACTGGCGATCAAGATAAGAAGAAAAAGAAGGAGCCTATCATAGATCGATCCTTCTTACCAATGGATGAGGAAAGGTTCCTGAACTTTAGGCAGCCTCGGGAGTCGGTCGAGAAGTGGTTCTCGACTTTTGAATCGATTGAGATTCCCGAGATCTCGAGCACAGTCGAACTGCCTGCCCATGTTATAGATGCCGCTCGGGTCCCCATGATGGTATGGGATCCGAGATCCGAAATCGGTGTATCCTCACTGGCGAGCGCATATAAGTTTAAATACGCCAAAGCTTGTTTGGGTCGCGCGCTTGTCAGTCTGGTGATGGCGGAGGATGAATTTCGGCTTAACGCGGCCCAGGTCGACGAGAAGAAGCATACATTGGAACTTAGAGATGGAGCACTTGCATCTCTAAGAGAAGAAGCGGCAGCTAAGGAAAAGGAGCTGCAAGTGAAGATTAATGAGCAAGTCGAACAACTGACGATTGCTCAGGGTGAGATCGAGGCTTTAAGAGCAGATAAGGCTAGCCTTGACAATGATGTCTTGAAGCTGACAAGTCAAGTCATCACCTCCGAACAGCGTGTGAAGATGCTCGAGGAACAACTGTCTCGGTGCGAGTCTCTTCTCCGCAAAGAACAAGATGCCCACGAAGTAACTCGGAGAAGTCGGTGTGAGGTTGAGGAACTGCTGAAGAAAGACCGAGATGCTCATCTAGCTAAACTCGGCAAACTCCAGGAGGAAAAGATCAAACTTGCCGAGGAGAAGTATAATGACGGTCTCCGAGCAGGGAGAATTCTTGAGGCGGAGGCCAACCGACTCAAAGCTAAGGTGGATTCCGACTCTGAAGACGAGGATCGGGAATTCGAGATGAACACTTGTCTGAATCTGCGCTGGATGGTTGAGCGCTTTGATGACGGTTTATATGGCATCGAGGAAATTCGTCAATTTCTTCTGCACAAAATTCAGAGCCATAACTTCAATCCCTCCATCGCGACAACTCACATTGAAGCCGACGAAGACGAGAAGAATTTCTGCGAGGGCCTTCTTGCTTCCATCAAGGCTGAAGCCGGTTTGGAAACTTCTGAATCAGCTCAAGAAAGAGAGGCTCGTCTGCGTCGGGCTTTCGTCAACATGGTGCTTGAGGGTGAGAAGGAGAGGAAGTCGGAGCTGGCTAACATTTTTGTGAAAACCTTATCCGAAGTTAGCTTGCAGGAAGAGCTAGAGAAAATGACTCCTGAGCAGCTTCGGAAGTCGGTTGTGGCCTTCCTTGAAAGAAAAGTGGCTGAGCTATCGCGGAAGGATGATCAGCTGGAGACGAATAAGGTAGCTGAAGTCAGAGAAGAAGATACGATCTTGGACAAGCATGTCCCCGTAACTCTTTCCGAGCTTGAAGAGGCTGCCAAGGCTGAAGAAGATCGAGTCTTCGACATCATCAGTCGCATTATGTACGAGCAAATCATCAAGAACGATGCAGAGGAAGCAGCCAAGAAGGAAAATGGTGTTGAAGAAGTTGCCGAAGAAGGAGACAATGCCGATGATGTGGTGAAAGCAGTTGATGAACCAGCGAAGTCAGCTTAGTTTGTTTATTTTTTTTTTATTATTTTTGTTTTTTTTTAAATTGTGTCCTCGG